ACCCACGCGTCCTACCAAGGCTCCACGCTGTCGCAGGGCCAGACGCTCCGCAAGGGCGTCACCATCGACTGCGCGAGGGACGAGGACGCTGGCCGCACGGGCATGTCGGACGACCAGTGGTGGTTGCACCTCTACGTCATGCTCTCCCGCGCCACGTGCATGCGGAACATGCTGATCCTGCGGCCGCCCGCGCGCGAGTTTCTGGAACGCGGGCCGCCGGCTTCCTTGCGGAAGGCGCTCCTGGAGTTCGACAAGAGAGCGGAAACGTCCAGGGATGAGGCCGAGCAGCTCGCCGCAGAGCTTGGGTTCATGCTGCCTCCCGCCTGAGCGCGGCTGCGCCCCGCTCGAAGCCCGCGGGGTTGTCCCAACGGCTTGGCCCGCGGGGCTGTCCCGACCGCCTGCCCCCGCGCCCCAGCGGTTCGCGGGGTTGTCCCAAAGGCTTCGCGAACCAGCCGTCGGGGAATGCGCGCGCTCTGCCCGCGGCGGCGACGGCGCCGAGGAAAATCGATTGCTTGGCCCGACCAGGGGGGAAGGGGAGGAACGCGCGGAGAAGAAGCAAGGGAAGGACGAGGACGGGGAAGGGGTAGGGAGGGGATTATGATGAGGAGGCAGTGGAGAAGGAGGAAGTGGAGAAGGAGGAGGAGGAGGATAAATAGAAGGAGGGGGAGTAGGTGAGGGCAGAACGGCGGGCGAGAGGAGAGTGTCCGTCAGGGCGAGGAGGAAAAGGGTAAGGGCAATCTACACATATTCTGATGTGGGGTCCTTCCGTCGGAATAGTTGTTGCTTATAAAATGGTAGCCCGCGTGGACCCCAAACAATCGGTTCTTGCAGTCAACGCGGTGCAATATATGTAGTGCAATGTATGCTCAGCAACATATGTAATGTACTATGTCCTAGTATTTCTACTGCTTCTGCTGCTACTAGTACTGATACTAGTAGTAGTACTAGTACTAGTACTAGTACTACTACTCCTACTACTACTACTACCACTACTACTATTACTACTACTACCTCTGCCACTACTACCTTCATTACTATTCCTATGATTACTACCACTGCTACTACCA